CTATCTCTGATGTAACAGTTACACAGTATAACAAGAGAGGAGGTGGGGGAGTGTACGACAGCCTACCTCTATCTCTCCAACGTCCTCCAGCGAGAACGTCCCTTCATCCGTCAGCATCCTCGATGACCTCAGATTCGTCAGCTTCACCTGCGAAGCAGCCAAAGAGATGCGTGTTACCATGGCAACGGCCACAACCAAGTGTAAGTACCTTCAACGCGTCGTCACGATTGCAACTCAATTTTTAGATCCCTCACCTCGACTCCCCCTTTGCACCGCCACTCCCTCCGGCGTACCTGCGCCCCTCCCCCCGCACGCCCCTCTTCCCGTACGCCCCCTTCCCCCGCACACCCCCTCCCCCTCGCAGCCCCCTCCCGCACGCCCCCTCCCCCCGCACGTACCTGCGTGGCGGCGGTGGCCGACTCGAGCGTGATGAACTCGTCTAGCGTGCGTTCGTACGCGCGCAGCTGCTCATCAATGATCGCCTCGAGGCACGCCGTCTGCTTGCCGACGTCCTGCAGGCTCTCCTGGGCGGGGCGGTGCGCCGGCGGTCGCAGCACGCACGGCGCAAACACGACGGCGAGGTTGCCCGCCGGCATGCGGTTCGCGTCGGCGTGGTGGGCGACGCGCGCGAGGTGGTAGGCGAGACGGTCGAGCAGGGAGCGGTTCGGCGCGGGGAGGCGCGCGGCGACGTCACGCACGGCCCGCGCTCGCGCTCCGCCGTCAGCCGTCGTAGTCGCCGCCGCGCGCAGGAAGCGGTCGTAGAGGTCGTAACGGAGCAGCGGCTCGGGCATCTCGCGAAGGAAACACTTGAACGTGCTCGCGAGCACGTGGATCGGGTAGGCGGAGAAGTCGACGTCGTCGGGCCCCGCCGTGATCTCCACCTGCGAAGGTCAAGAGAAGGTCAATGTTATTTATGAAGTTCGGGAGAAGGTCGACGTTATTTATGAAGGTCGAGAGAAGGTCGACGTTATTTACGAAGGTCGGGGATCGGCCGGGGATTCTAGATTCCGCTAGACCAAGGAACGTACACCGCGGAACCCGTCGTCAGAAACAAAATCATTCTTAATGTTAGTCTTGACATTAATATTTTCTCATAGACTGGAACGTTATATGCTGCATATGAGAGTTTCTGTCAACGCTCTATGCACGAAAAGTTAATGTTAAGACTAATGTTAAGACTAACTTCGTTGCAGATTTCTGTCAACGGTCAATGAGGAAAAGATAAAGTTTAGACCAATGTCAAGACT